AATTCAATGTATAACAAATGGAATGAGCACTTCGATCTAAAACTGTAATATGGTTGACAGAATTTGCTAAGCAAAAATGATATATAATCATTATTCTAACTTAACAAAAGACAATTTAACAAAGATAAGATTCAAAGAGAAATATTTGCTAGAAGTTATAATTTTGTATAGATCTAATTGTTAAACCTAAGAAACCAAGACAGTTTGTTTTAAATTTCATGCAAAGCTACACGAGGGCTATCTGCGCTAGCCGTCCCTAATTTAGCAGTGTAAGACTAGAGAAAAGGCAGCTAGTCATCACCACCAACTCTTGGGCTACTCTTTTACCAACGAATAGTGGGATTGACCGTCAAATTATAACGTCCCCATGGCTGAAAGGGCGAGCATGTTTGGCAGGTTTTGCGACCCTCAGATTGCGAGTCGAGTGCCTTAACCACCTAACCATCTCTTATAACTCGCCCACACCTTAAAGTGTAGTATCGCATATCGCATGGATTCGAACCCGACTTCCCGAAATCCAGAGCTCTAACGCAGAGTCAACCCACGTCTAAATTGGATTGTTACAAGCCAATTTTCAATCTAATTTAGGATAATTTTGTGTTTAGTCTTATTAACAAGATTAGGGGGAGGTAGATTAATATTACACATCTTGTTGTTGTTTTTTTAATAAGCAAGTGCAATAATTCAGACTTTCAACTTTTATATGAACATACACGAAGTTAACCACTTGTCATCTGGAACCTTAAGATTCGGTGATAAAGTCCTGAAAATTTACAATCTTATATTTTTCTATTAACATTACATCATAGCCTAAAATTGTTTTAAAATACTTTTGAAAAAATATAAAAAAATCTCCTCAACTTTGTATAACATTTATCTAATACGCTTCTATTCTTCATAAAACTTCCTCGACTTTGTATAACACTTATTTAATACGCTTCTATTCTTCATAAAACTTCCTCGACTTTGTATAACACTTATTTAATACGCTTCCATTCTTCATAATATTTCCTCGACTTGGTATAACATTTATTTAATACGCTTCCATTCTTCAAAAACTTCCTCGACTTTGTATAACATTTATTTAATACGCTTCCATTCTTCAAAAAACTTCTCAACTTTGAGGTAAACGACAATAAAAACTGGGCTGGCTATTCTGCAATACATCATACACAATATTAATAACCACTACCACACGATTGGATTGGATTGTTATTGGCGTAATTACCACCACTCCAACTCGGGAGGATCCCTAATTCATATCCTCTAATTCAATGACTTAAACATTCCAACTAGGAACGTTGTTTCTGCCATATAAAAGATACAACAATATCATTAGTTCTACAGAAGATCAGCTACCTAGAGGTATATAACAAGATTTTCTCGGTCTCTAGAGTAAAGTTAAACCAAACAATGGCCTAATTGGACCGAAGAAAAGAACTCGGTCGATTTTAGTGTTTCCAATAAGCACAGATGATTCCTTTCAGTTATACAAGTGGTAGACCTCCAAACGTGTACTCTTGTTATATATTGGTTGAAAGAGTATATATGTATTTCGGCGCCCTCCTGAACTCAGAAATATTAACGCCGCCCTACGGGCGGCTATTTGTGCTGGTAATTACTAACTGTAGTATTTATATCTCATTGGAAAAAAAAAGTTAACGTTTCTATAAAAAATATTTTTTCTGGGAAGTACTGAACAGAAAACTGTTCGGATTGTGCTCTTTAGTCATCCACAACTCATTGCATCAAAAATCTTCAATGTACAGAGCTCAAAATTGTCATAAGTTTTACCTATATAAACTGCAGTGTTTTTATACATTAAAAGTCGTTATTTTTAAGAACTCCAGTTTCTCAGTACTACATTTAAAAATTACACGAATAAAGATATAATCAAACCCTCACGTACAGTCCTCGTGAAAGTCGTATTCTTGTTGTGAGGGGAGTACTTTTATTTCAAATTGTGTTCTATTATAAAGAAATGGTTGTTGCACAAACCACAGTTATTTTTATAATTGGCTGAATCTTGAATACCCAAAGTTCGAAATTTGTTATGGATTTTTTTTGTTTGTTTGTGATGCTATTCAATAGATAGCGTAGGAGTTTTGGTTACATAGATAGATATTGACATACACACTACGTCCATTATAGTAAGATGCACGTTTATTAAAAGGCTCGGTTTCGAAAAGGTCATTTAGTATAATATACACCACTCTTCGTGACACCCGTGTGTTTAAGCCTCAACTTTGTTTTAAGCCTATATAAGACCGTGCAACTAAAAATAAGAAAGAATGATAACACGTCGTGGAATTCAAACTTAAGTAGAATAAATGGTACACAGGTTACGATTCGGTCGGTTAGACCCCTCATCACGGGATCAATTTTTGAAGGTTTTATGTTTGAAAGTTTAATACGTATGATAACTCTAAATGGGGGGAACATTTTTTTTTTCGAAACAACGGATAGACAGACGTATGGATGTTCTATTCTCAGTCTAACGCTTTTGTTATTCTTGGTTTTGAAGAAAGCATGGGCGTCCGCAGAAATTTTTCCAGGGAAGGGCAAAGTTTTCCGGGGGTGGAAGGGGGAGAGTAGTGTGAAATTGCGAATTGAATTAAAAAATTCATATACATCTAGTGAATGAATAAAGAAAGAATTATGTTTCTCACTTTCCGCCCCCCCCCGCGGACGCCCATGGAAGAGGTACCAGAAATAGTACGTTTTTCGTAGTGAGATAAATTGGATCCCCAATCCCCAATCCTAAATTCCAGAGGATTTCCTGGAAAATAAAATCTATCAACTGGATGCGAGATATGAACCCCCTTATAAGCCTCCAGGCTTACCACTGAGCCATCAAAAGGGCATAGGGGAAGAGACTGTTTGTTTTTAGGGCAAAGCCACGTTGGGCTATCTGATGTGTACACTGTGGGGGAATAGAACCCCAGATTTGAACGTTGTAAGTCCGTAAAATTACCGCTGCCTCACCAGACACGGAGGGGCAGGGGGCGAGAGATGCTCTCATAAGTTAAAGAGAAAATAACGTTATTTTCAGAATGACTGGCTATTTTAAAGGGATCTTCCTTATTAAAAAATATATTTATAGAGTTTAACTGGTATAATATTCTAAAGCAAATTCATGTTTAGAATGTGACCGGAGGTTTGTTTACTAATATCACAATGTAATATAATAAACTACATGCAAATACTGTTTATTTTATATAATATATACAACTCTTAAACAGAAAGATAAGAAATTAGGTTTAAATTTTCATGATTTTTTTTTAACGCTAGGATATTTTTAACGCTACTACTTAATGGTCTCCCGCATGATGTGTAGATTTTGCCTTTGTACTGAAATCAACACTGACGAAGTTGTATCGAACCTACAGCCTTAAAGGTATCCCGTTTCAAGCACGTGCAAGAAATACCAATTCACCCGTTACTAACAGGAGCACGTGGCTGAAATCACTACCCAAATCATGTTCTGTTTGTTTTTCGGAATTTTCTGGCAAAGATACACGAGAGCCATCTGCATACATCAGTCCCTAATTTTGAACTTAGACGATTTGTTTGTTGAATTTTGCATAAAGCTACTCGAGGGCTATCTGCGTTAGCTGTACCTAATTTTGAAAGGATGGACATGATGGATGGCAAATACTCAAAACCGCCCACAGCCAGCTCTTGTCTGACTCTATAGTAAGATTTGACCGTCACTGTTATAACGAATCCACGGCCCAAAAGTGCGAAGTGCAACATTTAGGCATCGGAACTCGAACAATAAACCCTCAGGTTCACAGCCTGGGCACGTTAGCCAATAGGCCACGCCCGGCCCCAGAAAAGTAGTAATTATACAACGAGATTTTAACGCAGAGAAGTCATCGTTTTCATTCATAATTTTGTTTTGGTAAGAAAAATAAAAGTAAGGGGCGTTTACCAACATACCCCAAGTCAGCAATCGACTCGCTATCTACCTCACTGCAAATGAACAACTTACTTGTGTTTTTACATTATTACAATAGTCTTCCACAAGTGTCTAGAAAATTCGAGACGTGTCACGTCAGATCTAGACACTCAGGACATTTCAAAGGGTCACACATCATCACTACGTCACTCCTTCTAGCAAACAATACAAAACGTCTACATTTAAATCTTCACAACAAGAGTACGTAAACCTTAAACATTTATTCTGATAACTTACATGCATGAAATCAGAGCCGAAGAGTTTATTTAATTTTTAGTTCTATTCTCACAGCTTTAAATGAATGAGATTAATTTAGTTTACAGATAAACAGACGAAATTTTGTTGTTTGTAATTAAGCACAAGGCTACACAAAGCTACACCACGGTTTCTAGCGTTGTAAGTCCGCAGACATACCACTGTGCCACTAGGGGGCGCAGATAAACAGAAAATACATGTAAAAAAAACTTACCCCGATTAATGAGGCAGTTAGGTAAGCAATTCCAATGGCAACAGCATTACTTCCCAGCGTTCTTCTGTTTGGGTCCATTGTTGCAAACACAGTGAAGACAATGACAAACGTTAGAACGAATTCAATTCCAAATGCTTGCCAGGCTCCAAGATCACTGTGAACCAGGGTGCACCCCAATGTCTCCTGGTAACCAGGGATCGTTACACTATACAGAAATAGAAGAGGTTAGGCGGTTTGTATTTTGTTCTCCACTTCATAAAGGACAGAAAGTAACTAGGCTTACATAAATCTAGAAACGCAAGATAAAAAAAAAACGCGATACAACAACTTTATCAAAACGGAATGAAAAGGAGATCTGTAACATGTAAAATAGTTTATATGTCAAAAACAATAGAAAAGTAGTGTTGTGGAAGTATTGTTAACACAATTAAATAAAAAAACGTAACTTGAAAAGCATAAAATTATCTCCTCCAAATTGAACTGGACCTCCCTTGAACTTAGACTTCGATATTAAACAATTTTCGGAATGCTAAGTTTATTTATTATTTATTTTATAATGATGATGAAATTAATATAACTCAAAAATATTACAAAGAGACTTTGAATTTTTCCATTATCAGTTCTTCTCATTAAAACTCATAACGGGTAATGATGCGGCCATATTGTTGCGTCAGCGAGGTCACGTGACTAGTGTCACGCCACGTTTCTAGAAGTATCTTGTTCCTTCGTGAACGCCTTAGCATTTACTAGAT